AGGAGACGCCTTGTCGACTCAGATGAGCGATTTGCGTCAGCATGCGGGAGAAGGCAGGTCGAAGAAGAGGAACATCTCCAGTCAGAATCCAACATCACGCACACATCGCAGCAGAGCTTTCCCAGCGACTCTGGCTACGGCGCGACCTCCGTCACTCACTCTGACGAAGCTGAGCTGGCTAGCTTGGAAGAAGAGCTTTTGTGTCGCGGCGCGTCCGACTTGTTGCTGCTACGCATGGCGAGTGCACCGCCGGAAATGGAAGCCCACGGAATCGACGAGAAGCAACTCGACCTGAACGCGGAGCCGACGAGTCCTTCCGACAGCCCGCCAGCCACGCTCGCTCAATCTTCGGAGGAAGGTTCAGCCCAACTTCCTCGATTGACGAACCGCACTACGGATTCCGATCAGTTCCTTCCAGGCAGTGGCGCCGCGGAGACGAGTCACAAGCGGAAGCGATCCGCGCAGCAGCAGATGAAGACGTGTCTAAAATGCGGGAAGAAATTTGCGACGGGTCAGGCGCTGGGAGGACACATGCGGAAGCACTGGAATGGATCCATCCGCGTGCAGACGAAGCAGCTGCTTGCGGAAGTGGGGCCTTCGAGGACCAGTAGTCCGGCGCACAGCGGGAGCCATAGCCACGAGTCGGATCTCGCCTCGCCTGAGCACGATGGCAAGCAGAGGCGGGCCAACGAAGCGGAGTCTACTGCGAGGCCTCTTGTCGTTGATATTGATCTAAACCTGAAAATATGAATACTGAAGAGGTTATAAGGTAGCTTTTATGGACTGGGAGTCCTTAGTAGTGTAGGTGTTCATAAGTGAATTAGCATCATTGTTAAATAAATGGTCTGTCAATCTATTTCTCTGGGACATAAACACCCCCAGATGGCGGTTGATGCCGTAATATAAATGTCATTCCCAATCAGTTCACTGCAGGTATTGTACAGGGCAGATGTTAGTAAACAGGGTTTTATCAAAGGGCTTTTCCATCAAACCAACCAGCTGACACATATCTAGCAGCAACATTGCTTCCTTATTTGGCAAGGTAGGAATCAGCTGTGATACCGTAAGACCAGCACAAGTGCTGGTCCAGCTGGCCATGGGCATCACACTTCCAAGTTCAAAGCCAACCCTGCATCCACCTTCCATCTGAGTTGATCCTACTGAGTGCTGCTCATTGAATGTCGCCTGTCTGTCAACTCCCCAAATGGCATACTGCTCTTTCTCCAACAAGGTCCTCAACATGCCTCCAGCCAGGGTATAAGCCATATGCCACTGCTTGCAGGGTACCACCAGGTCAACTGCAGGCTCATGCACAGAGCCCTGTTCTCAGCTGCATTGAACCAACTTGTCTAATGGTACAAGCCTGATGGCTGGTGTAGCTATCAATCTTTGGCATCACATGATCACAGCCTCAGGTCCAAATCTATTTCCGTGGCACCCACTTCCTTCTCCAACTCCATCGATTCTTCCGAGTACCGCCTAATGAGTTTCACCTGACACCGCGAAGGCGACTTACGGCTGAGTTTGCTCTCTTGGGCGCCCTTGTTCACACCGAGCGAGTCTTTCGCATGCCGAGAAGAATGCTCCGGCCTTTTTGGGCCCTTCCAGTGCTTCCGCATGTGACCGCCGAGTGCCTGCCCGGACATGAAAATTCTTCCACACTGGGGACATCTCTTGCTCCGGGATGATCTTTCCTGCTGCTCAAAGCCAAGACTATCCAGAAGATCACCACCATTAATAATGTCCCTCACTCCACCAATGTTGATCCTAGCTACCTCATTGGCTGCTCGAAGCGCCATGGCAAGCGATTCACTATAGCAACTCCTCTCTGTTGCTGCCGTAGTCCTTGGTTCGTTCAGGAATGCGGACAGCGACGAGGTTGCCACGTCAGCCGACGAGGAGAGACGCGCCAAAGGCGCGACGCCGGACGAAGGGGGTGAAAGTCGTCTGCCAGTGGTGACAGGGCCAGGAATCACGGAAGGCATTGATTCCCAAGAATCCCCGCGCTGCGCGTGTAAGAGCAGCTGTTTCCGAAGGGACGCATTAGCTCCAGCCTCCGGCGGGTCAGGAACCGGCGACCTGCGATTCGGGATCTCGTTCTGCCCGCAGTTCGCACGACCTGCGACGTTGGATGATGAAATCGGGGTCCTCTCGCGTCTCCCCGCTGCCGCATTCGCCGCGTGAAGCACGGCGCCCGCTATCAGCGCGGCAGCTGCTACCGCGGCGCTCTGCTGCTGTTGGTTCAGCGGCGATTCCGCCTGGGACGACTGGTTTGCTTCGCGCGCGGAGACCGGCGGCTGTAGCGGCGCCGCCATTGGCATCCACTGTCGAGGCGGAGCTCCCGCTACTCGCGGACCGATTTCCGGTGGCGACTCGTCACTCGTCGCAGCGCGGGGTAGCCCACCCGATTGGTCGTCAGGAAGCCGAGGCGCGGTAGCATCGAAGGCGCTGTTGGATACCGCCCCGGTTTCGGTCTCTCCTGAGGACGCTGATGCGGCGGCGACGGCGGCGGTGGCGGAGGAAGACTTCACGGCGGAGCTGGCGCGATCTTGAAAGCGCAGAAGCAGCGGGTGGCGAAGAGGCGTTGTCTGAATCACCGCGACACTCGGCGTGGCCGTGGTAGCGGCTGTAGCGGCTGGTGCTGCGTTCTTCAAGCCGAGGAGCAGCTCCAAGAGCGGAGAGTCTGCGGTGCGGTCAACGAGAGCCATGGCTCCGTGAGTCACGATCGAGAGCGTAGTTTTAGCAGTTTAGGCGAGGAGGAACGTGTGGGAGTCCGCGGTAGAGAGTGTATGGCGCGCGATATATAATTTTGAGTGCGGTCGCTGAGAGGGACGTGCTCAGGTGACGAACGAGCGATCAAGGTGGCTCAGAAATTTCAATGTTCTCGCCGGATGGCGTAGCGCGCAAGCCCTTTCATACAAAACACGGCGGGTATCTCTCGAGGTCAAGGAGCTCATTTGGAGCGTGGAAAGCGAGAACAAGATGAAGGACGCCATGCTGGCCAAGTTCTGTCTGGTATGGTGGCGTGGCGATGCGATGTGAGCCAGAGGCCAGACGTATAAGAGATGGAGGCAGTGTCAGAGATTACTGTATTTGTGTGTAGCCGCCACATGTGAGGGGAGTGGAGAGCGAGTGAGCAGCTAGCAACACTCTCATGGCTTGGCTTGGCAGGCGTTGGTAGAGAATCGTGGTTCAGTTGTCCGCCCCACTCACCCCTCTCCCCGCCGCCATCAATTCCACTGAACAGTTTGTCTGTTGGTGCGTGCGTGGGTTATTGATTTACGGCAGAATGGACGGTGTACCAGAATAAATACAGTTAATCTATAGCCATCAATCCAATGCAAAATACATCCGTTACAAGCCAAACCGAGTGCAAAATGCGCCAGAAATCTTGAAGTGCACTGTAGTGAAAACTGAAATTCGATGGGCGGATGCTGTACAGTCCTTCACTACAATACAAAATCCCACTCCGCCCCACACCTTCCACACATTCCATCTAGGCTCAGGCCATGGGCAGCCAGGCTGTCAAAGGATCTGCCCAACGTGTGTGACTTGGCGTCAAGGATTGGGTTGGGGTGGTCGAACGAACACTTTTCACAGTTGACAGCGTGAGTCTGTTCGGACTGAGTCACTGAGCTGGCGTGGCGCTTGTTTACAGCCCAACAGTACAGATTGGATTTTTAACCAGGCAACGGGCAACCCAACTCAAGTCTAGAAAACAAGGACAACATAGATAATAACGTCATTAAGCAATTCAGACAAAAATGCATCCTAATGTAGCTGCCGAAAAAAAAGTGTTACAGCTTTCTGCCGAAAATTGTTCCCAACGGCCGAAAGTACAGTTCACGAGTGCCCCATTTGAAAAGGACGCTACAGTAGGACCTCGCCCACGTGGCATGAACAGATGAGCATTGCCTTGAGATTTGCTGCAGAAAGGACGTCTAGTGTCCAGTCCAGGCGGACTCAGCCGTGGGACTTCTCAGTGCATTAGGATTGTACTCTTTGAAGGGTGTTTCAACGTCGGCATCAGAGATCAAACAAATGACGCTCTTGCAAAAAACTAGACTACCCTATCCAATTTCCAAAAGCACTAGGGGAAGAACTACAAAAAAAAAAAAACGGACAAACGATGGAAGTGGATTTTTTAAAACAAAAAACAGCCCCTGGAACATGTTCACCATCATGCACTTTCCATGCTCTTGTGGTGCTTGGAGCCCCTAAACCTACCATTGACACCATCTTCCTCATCCTGAGAGCCGTTCTCCTCCCGCAACCGACAGCGCGAAGGCACTTGAGCAGAATGAGTTGCTCTCGAAGAGCTGGCTGGAGGAGTACCATCGTCCCGTGCAATCTGCTTTTCGCAAGAAGCAGGGATTCCATGCCTTTCAGATGCTTCGTTGTTGTTTGCAGCGTTCGGTTGCGGCGAGTCCAAGTGTTGCTGGGGCTGTTTGGCGACAAATCGGGCGATGCAGTGCAACACAGATACCGTACATGCAGGAAATGCGTGAAACAAAAGCATGAAATGGTAGCATGGAATGATAGCAGGAAACAATGAAACAAAACAGTACTCAGCATGACATAACCATGTGTCACACCCACCAGCATTACTCTACAACACACACCCTGAGAGTCCACTATGAAACGGCCCCCTGGCTTCATGCTTCCTACCCCGCCTACCTCTCTGCCTGTCTTCCTTGACCTCCCGCTCAGATATGCTTCCGACAGCCCCTCTTGCGGCGCCATGTGGCACTGTGCCACGTCATCCGCCTTCATCACCCTCTCCCACTCCTTTGCTTCCTCCTGCCAGTAGATCAACACATGTGCCATCAATGCCATGCCATCCCATGCCAAGCCATGCCATTCCACATGAAGGCATGTGGACAGAAGGAACATACAACACAGATGAACCAGCATTATGAAGGAAATCAGCGTTGCAGGCATCACCAACACAGATAAACCAGCGATGGCGCAGCTGCCATGGAAGCCGCAATCATGCAACCCTAGGCACACCTGAACAATGCCCATACTCCACTTCTCACTTGTGCCATGCTCCAGAGATCACCTCTAAACCCCTCTCCACACCTGTACTCTGCACCGTTTATTTCCCTGCAGAGACTCACCGAACTCAGCTTTCCAGCAGCAACAGCAGCTGAAAGAGCCTTGCCTCTCTCCTTCACAGACGTGCCTCCCCCTTGACTGGACCTCACTGCTCCACCCGGCCTACACCCCTCCACCCCACCTACACTCCTGCTTGCTGCCCCGCCTCCTCCTCCCACCACCCGCCCTGCTCCCTCTCGAGCTGCCCCTCCCAGCACTCGTCTCAGAGCGCCAAGGCCCTGCCCCAGCACACTCCTTAGCACGCGCTGCTGCTGCTGTGACTGCTGCTGCGACTGCTGCTGCGACCGCTGCTGCTGCGGTTGTGACTGTTGCTGCTGCTGCTGCTGCTGCTGAGGCTGAGACTGCTGTTGCTCCTGCTGTGACTGCTGCTGCTGGGTGGGGTTTGGTGGCGGCTGCTGCTGCTGCTCTTGTTCCTGCCACTGCACGTCTCTGTCCTCTCCATTTCCCCCCACCACCCCTCTCTGGCCCCCAGCATTTACTGACCTTTCCCCGCCCCCCTCGCCTGCTATTCCCCCTAAGCCTGCCAGCAAGCCACTCAAGCCTCCTAGCCCTCCCAGCAGCGCCTCAAGCCCCCCTGCTTGCACCCCCAACCCCCCGGCCTGTGCGCCTATCCCCCCTGCCTGTGCGCTCATCCCCCCTGCCTGTGCACCCGCCCCCCCTGCCTGTGCACCCGCCCCCCCTGCCTGTGCACCCGCCCCCCCTGCCTGTGCACCCGCCCCCCCTGCCTGTGCACCCGCCCCCCCTGCCTGTGCACCCGCCCCCCCTGCCTGTGCACCCGCCCCCCCTGCCTGTGCACCCGCCCCCCCTGCCTGTGCACCCGCCCCCCCTGCCTGTGCACCCGCCCCCCCTGCCTGTGCACCCGCCCCCCCTGCCTGTGCACCCGCCCCCCCTGCCTGTGCACCCGCCCCCCCTGCCTGTGCACCCGCCCCCCCTGCTTGTGCACCCGCCCCCCCTGCTTGTGTGCCCATCCCCCTCCCTATGCTTCCCCCCTGCGCCTGCACCTCCCCCCCTGCGCCCGGCCCTGGCAGCAGCTGAGGGCGCATGACTATGGTGGGGAAGGGGCCAGAACCGCCCACCAGCGCTACAGTCGCAGGAAACTGTAGCAGCGGTTGTTGCCCGGCAAACCATGCCTGCTGCTGCTGCTGCTGCTGCTGCTGCTGCCGTTGTTGCTGCTGCTGTTGTTGCGATTGCTCTTGCTGCTCCTCCTGTTGTGGCGATTGCTCTTGCCTCTCCTGTGCCTGCGCTTCCTGCTGCCCTCTCTCCTCCCTCCCTGCACCCTGCCCCTCGGGCTGCTCTCGCCTCTCCTGCATCTCAGAATCGTCTTCTGCCCACCGCTGCTGCACCTCCTGCCCCTCCTGCCCCTGGTGCCCCTGCGCCCTCTGTCCCCGTCCCTGCATGTGGGAGTTGTATTCAGCCAGAACCTGCTGCATGTGGAACAGCCGCGCTGCTGCCCTCACCTGCTCCACCGGTGACCCCGCCTGCCCCTGGCCCTGCCCCTGCTGCTGCTGCCCTTGCTGCTGCTGCCCCTGCTGCTGCTCAATAGCAGCAGCAGCAGCAGCAGGGGGGTTGGCAGCATTGGTGGCGCTGTCAGTTGGAGGGCGGGCATGGGCAGCAGGGCGAGAGGGCGCGGAACGAGGCTGGTGCGGGGCGAAAGAAGGGACGCCAAAGAGACCCACGTGCACCCCCCCTGGAAGAGAGAAGCTGGCAACAGGAGCAGATGGCGCTGCTGCTGCTGCTGCTGCTGCTCCTGTGCCTGCGGGTGCTGGTGCACCTGTTGCTGCGGCTTCTGAGCTTGCTACTGCTGCGGAGCGTCCTGCTGCGGCTGCAGATTGCTGCTGGCCTCCAAACAGAGGGAATCTGATGCTTCCCCCCACACCTCCCCCACCTCCGCGCCCTCGTTCTGCTCCCCCACCTCTCGCCCCCTCTCTGCCAGCCACACTTGGTGCCTGTGCCTGCAGGTGCATCTGCTGCAGCAACGGCAGTTGCTGGGAGCAGGGAGTCACAGCGGGAAGAGAGGGTGACAGTCACAGAGAAAGGAAAGGAAGCAAGGTGAGAGCGGGTGGATGGTGATAGAGCCAAGTGAAATTGCAGGCGAGGGACGAGTTGGGGCGGAATGCGATGCACAGATTGTCAAGAAGCCGAAGCATCAAGAACCTTTTTCCACCCAGAACTAACAAAACCCTCCCCTCCCCCCATTAAACCCCGAATCTAGAACCTTGAACCTAGAACGAAAAGCCCCAAACCCAGAACCCAGGACCCGTATGAAGAGGACGCACATGGGTGAAGAGGACGCACATGGGTGAAGAGAGCTGTGGGCCCTCGGGCAGTGATGAAGACCGGCGGCACCGGGGACAGGCGCGGGCCGTGCTGCTGCTGCCCACTGCTCCCACCAGCAGCAGCAGCAGTAACGCCAGCACCGCCAGCAGGGCCAGGCCAGTGCAGGGCGCGGCAGAGGTGGGAGAGTTCGAGCAGCAAGGGAGCCATGAGGGTCACACACCGCACTGTTCCTTCCACTGCCTCTCTCATCGCCGCCTCTGCTGCTGCTGCCACTGCTGCTGCTGGTTCTCCTGCTTCTCCTCCTGCTCCTGCTCGTGCCCCTGCTGCTGCTCCTCCTGCCGCTGTGGCTGTTGTTCCTGAGTCAGTCACAGCAGCTGCGCCCACAGGCGGCAAGTGCTCCAGCTGCTCTGCAAGGTTCTGCCCAAGCAGCACAGGTCATGGGAGGGACGGGGGAGGGTGGGGGGAAAGAACCACGAGTACTGTATCGCTGGCGCCCTAGCACTCTGGCAGACAGTGGTTGAGTTGAAGCATGGAGCAGGCATGGCAGATTAGAGGCCTGACTGGCCAGATGAACTAGTACTGAATTCACGATCACGGTTGCATTAGGCAGAAGCAATAAAACCGGGAACCAAGAGGGGGCGAGGAAAGCGCAGGAACTGACGAGCAGGGAGGAGGAGAGGGGGCCGGTGAGGAGGCTGTTGGAGCGCCTGAGGGTAGCCGCCAGGCGCTGCAGCGATGGTAGCTCCCTTCTTGCTGTCGCTGCTGCTGCCGCTTCTGCTGGGTCCACTGGGAGCACGGAGGCAGGGGAGGAGAAAAAACATAGTTGCAAAAATTGCAGAACAGCGCGGCTTGATTCCTTGAAACACTTCTTACGCCCCTGACATGACAACCAAGCGCGCAACCTCAAGTGCAGAGCATTGCCAGTGCTTAGGCCTCCAGGCAACCCATTAAGTGTGCTAATGAGCAATGTCCGAAATCTACCTGGCAGGCAGGCAGCCATGTGCTGTTCTCACCTGACGGCCTCAGCTGACCCTCCACACGTGAAAGATAATCGTCCACAGTTGAAAGAGCGTCCCTTCGCGCCACATGCCTCGTCCCTTGCTGCTGCTGCTGCTGCTGCTGCTGCTGCTGCTGCCGTGCACCCCGCTCCTCCTGCTCCTCCCCATGGTGCCCTACCCCGCCCACCCCCCCTGGTCCCATGCCGCCAAGAGCCATCATGAGAGGCAGGCCGGCAACACCCATGCTGCCGCCCATGGGGATGGGAAAGCCGCCGAGGGGAATGCCCACCGGCACAGCCATGCCTGCTGGTGCTGCCATGCCCATTACTGATGGCATTCCCATGCCTGCTCGCATGCCTGCTCCCATGCCCGCTCCCATGCCTGCTCCCATGCCTGCTCCCATGCCTGCTCCCATGCCTGTTCGCATGCCTCCCATGCCCGCTCCTCCCATACCCATGCCTGGCCCTCCCATGCCCACGGGCATGTCAAAGCCACTCACAGGCAGCCACGTGTCCATGTGAATCTGCACCTCTGGCACCCCGCCCCCTCCACCCTCTGCCCCTTCTGCTCCCTCCCTCCGTTCCCCAGCGTCACTACCGCCTCGCTCCGTCCCTGCTCTCTGCTCCCCTGCTTGCTCTTGTTCCGCCCTTCCTCCCCCATCCCTGCCTGCACGTCCATCCGCAGCAGCAGCAGCCGCAGCAGCAGCAGCCGCAGCAGCAGCAGCAGCATCGGTGGTGTGAGCGTCGCGGGCAGCATTACCGTCTGCCGCAGGGGAGGAGCGTCTAAGGGCCTGAGCGGCTCGCATCTGGCGGGGCGCATGGCAAATGGCACATGGCAGCGCAACGCAAGGTGAATGAGCAACAGACAGGTGTGGAAGTGGGAGCGCCAAGGAGAGGCAGACTTGAGCTGAGCTCATCCGTCGGTTAAACACGGTTTCAATGAGATGCTACTTGGAGAATGCGTGTTGGCATGGAGACATGAAATGAAACACGGCATACCGAGATGGGGGCGATGTCAATCGTGACATTCGCAGTGGGACCTGCTGACTCGCTTCCACCCCCCCCCACTCGCCCACCCCCTGCTCCCCCTCCCCCCATACCTCCACCCATGCCGCCCCCCATGCCTCCGCCCATGCCTTCCCCCATGCCCCCCACCCCCAGCCCCAAAGCTCCAAGGCCAATGGATGAAAGCACACCAGACACGATCTGATGGGCACAGGAGGGAGAGCGGGGTGAGGGAAAAGGGAGGGGGGAGTGCTGGGGTGAGACGAGTGAGATAGACACCGGTTGAGAGAGGAAAGGGAGGGGCGGGATGGGAGGAAACCGAAGAGGGGGATGGGATGATAAAAGCGAGCGGGAAGGGGAGGGGAGCGGGAAAGGGAAAGGAGGAATTGACCGGAAAGGGGGAATGAGGGAGGGAGATCGGAAGGAGAGTAGGGGCAGGGATGATGAGGAAGCAGTCACGGGAGTGTAACGCGTCCTTGCTCTAAAGCTGACAGCCCTCTCAGTGCACCCCACCCACCCACCCGCCCGCCCGCCCGCCCGCCCACCCACCCACCCACCCACCCACCCATGCACCCATGCACCCATGCACCCACACAGACCTGGTTTAGGTCCGGAAGGCCCTGAGAGCCGTCCGATGGGAGGTTAAACGTGCCCAGATGAACGGTTCCAGAGGCAGGCAGGCCGCCAATCTGCACGTGACCCAACCCTCCCCCCAGCCCTCCCCCAAACCCTCCCCCTGGAACGATCCGTATCCCCCCCATACCCATACCGCCGCCGCTGCCCCTCTCTCCCCCTGCGCCGCCCCTCCCCTGTCCCCCGCGCAACAGCCTTGCCCTTCCGCGGATTCCCTCCCCCTCCGCGCCCGCGCGCGCGCCATGCGCGGAAGAAGGGGAGGAGTCCCCCGTGAGTCGCGAGACCAGGTGCACCACGTGGCCCGCACTGATGCCTGGGGAAGGAAAAGCGGGGGAACGGCGGAAGGGGAGGGGAGGAGAGTAGGTACAAGCGGAACAAGAGGAACGAGGCGCAGGAGGGGGGTGGTCATCTAGATGTGTGCCATGCGTAGCCTAGGCACAAGAGAACAGCCTTTCCAGCCAGCAGCGAGCACAAGAGCGAAGCAACAAAGAAAGATCTTGGGAAAGGCATGCTACAAGAATTCGGGGTGAAGGGGGTTAGAACGAGAGAATCGGGAGTGAAGGGGGGTAAGGCGCGAAAAATCCGGGGTGAACGGGGGTACGACGAGGAAATCCGGGGTGACGGGGGAAGATGAGAGAAGGAGAGGTGAAGGGTGGTAAGACGAGAGGAGAGGTGAAGGGGGGTAATACGAACCGTAGGATGCGAGGGTCTGATCGTCCTTGAGAACCTTCCCTCGGAAGACCAATCGCTGGCTGCCAGCTGGAACCTGCACCTGCGTGGATATCTTTTCCTTCAACGCGCTCACGAGCAGCTGCGGGGGGAGTGGAGGGCGAGAGGCGAGGCGATGGAGGAGAGAGAGAGGTGGGGAGAGGCGAGGCGAGAGAGAGAGGCGAGACGAGAAAGAGAGGGGAGGTGTGTGAGAGAGAGAGGAGGGGTCAAGAGACGGGGAGAAACGACTGGAATAACAACGCAACGGTTAGGCATAAAAAATAGACATACACGGCGCTAATCGAGGACAGAGAAACGCGAGGTTGGGGAGGATGCACGACCAGCAGACACGAGAAGAAAAGTTGAAGATGTCAGCAACGGTACTAGCTGAAAGGAGTCGACCAAGTTACTGCAGTGCAGGAGTTGATGAAGTTTAACTCTTGTTGACCAAATCTGAACTCTACAGACACGTCTCGATAATAAAAGATGACAATTTAACGACGTCTGATAACCGGTCTACGTCGGACTAGAGGTTTGCCACCGTCCAACATCCTAGGCCGTGACTCGCGTCGATCTGACAAGTGCGAATCCGAAATTCAAAAGAACAATCTCTACAGCTGCTCTTGGGACCCACAGAGAGCGATCATCCTACACTAGCACGCACCGCGACTAACACCCTACACTAGCACGCGCCGTCACTAACTCCCTACGCTAGCACGCACCCCGAGATCCACGCGGACATCGTAAGTCCGGTTATCGAGAGTCTTGATCGTTATTCCGACTTCGCTCCGACTTGCGCTGTCCGGAGGAGGCAAATCCACATCCATGGCGAGCGGGAGTCCACGAAGAAACCCTAATCGCAAAAATTTACTAATAAGACGTCAATGTGGGATCTCTACACAGGAAGACGCTAACTAAGGTTTCAGACAGTCTGTTGCTGAATTCAGGCAGAACTTGAGGCTTTGATTTGAAGATGAGGAAAGCTGTACCGCACAGAACCGCATAATCGCGTTGCACCTTCTCGGGAAGCGGACCAGGAAATGCAGAACCAATCACTGCGTTGACGCGCGTGACCGTTGGCATGAAGAGCAACACGACCGACAACCGTTGGCATGAAGAGCAACACGACCGACACGTGTAAGAGGGACGGCACCCTCATAAAAGGTTCTATTACGCGTTTCAGTGTACACATGTTAATAAAGCTTCTGGTTGTAAACTTCTGACAAAGAAAGCATTTTCATTCCACAAGGCAGGTAAACCTGGCTAGAGAGGAAATTAAGCAGCCAGTTTACAGAATCTTGTTTCTTATGTCCTCTAGCTTCTTGAGAATCTCTCCTGGCGTGCGATCAAGCTCTTCCGCAATCTTCTTTTGCAGCTCCAGCGAAAGCGACGGAAATTGCTCGCACAAGTCCCCATCAATCACATCCTGGGAGGAAGGCAGAACACAAAACATAATAGCAGAACGGGCAAACATGAGCCACTTCTTTCACTTGGGCAAATCCAAATGATCAGGTCACATGGTAGAACAAAGGCGAATTGGCAATGCAGCAGAGAAGCAGGGCTGACCTTGACAGGGAAATAGGCGGATCTGTAAGCGACGTGCTCTCGGCCGGCGAGGGGAGGGTGCTCCTGGCGCAGGTGCATCTCGAGGTGTGAGAAGAAATCCACGTCCTCCCGCGACACAAAGGGCAGCAGCGCCCCCACCCCCCCCAGCATCGTGCTGTATATGACGCACTCGCTGCCGCCTGGGGAGGAAGAGAGGAAGGGGGGGAAGGCGAGAGGGAAGGCATGGGAAAAGCAGGATGGGACAAAAGGGGCGATACACAGGATGGTACCAGGGAATTAGATGATGGTGGTACAGGAAGCAGGAGCCAGGTAACAAAGGGAAGCAGGAGCCAGGTAACAAAGGGAAGCAGAAGGTGAGGCACAACTTGACACGAAGTTGAAGCCAGGCGGAGAAGCGCTCACCTGGAATGAGGGACGTCTTCTGCATGGCTGTGACGATGTCCCCCACATGGAACTGAATCACCTGGTGGGTCATGGCCAGAACATTGGGGTGTCGCGCGGGGGTTGGAAGGAGGGAAGGTGTGTGCGGAGGGTGAGGTAAGACACGCGTCACGGCAGCAGCAGCAGCAGCATTACACGACAGAGTGTATCAGGTAAGCAGAGCATCACGGAATGCAGCAAGGCAGGGAGGCACCGGCCGAGAGGACGCCCGACACACACCTGCTCAAGCTTGTTCGGCGCTCCGTTGAGGCGCCCCCCTCCCACGGCGTCCCACTTGACACGCCCGCCAGTCTGATCCTCCTCAATCTCCTCGGAGATCTCCCCCGGCAGGCGCACAAGGCACACGTTGCCAAACTTGTCCCCGCCTGCCATCGTGTCAAAGTCGATTCGCAGGGCGGAGGTCAGCCAGCGCGGGGTGACGTCGTCTGCGAACACGTACAGCTGATTCTCCTGCCGGCTGTGCTGCACGTAGTGGAATGACTGGGGGATTGAGGGAGGGTTGGGGCGGAAAAGGGGGCGAGAGAGTGAGGATGAGAAAGAAAAAACATTTTACTCACCCATGTCATTTTTGCACATTTCCTGGTTAAAGGATACTAATTAATCACCTCGTGGCCCTCTGCCCTCCACCCACCTCACCCCTCCACCAACATCCCCCCTGCACCCACACACCTCCCCCATCCACTCCCCCACCTCCCTGCATATCAACGCACCTCCTGCACGTCGCCCACGTAGATGCGATCGCCGCACGCATGGATGCTCACGATCGCATGCGGGAACTGCTTGTTCTCGCACTTCCTCAGAAGCTTCTTCTTCCCCAGGTCATATATCCTCAGCACATTCCCCACCCCCACCAACAGCCGCCCATGGAACGCACACAGGGCAGTCGGCACCCCCCCTTCCACCGCCGTCTTATGCACCAACTCTAGCTCCCTCCCGTCCTCTCCCTTGAACTTATACACATGCAGGAACCCTCCCAGAAGGTTCCTCTTGGGCCAGAACTGCAGGGATTTCGCTGTGCCGACTACCAGGTACTGTCCTGCGGCCGCCCCGCCCTCTGTTTTATCCGCGTGGAAGTTGACCGTGCAGAGCGAGAAGGCGGCCTCGCTGTCTGTGAGTTCCATCAGGCACGTTGTCTCGCCTGCCTTGGGGTTTATCACCCGGATGCATGATGCCCATTTCGACGGGACTGTTTTCGGGTACCCGAATTGCTCGTCCGGTAGCGGGTCTTTCGCTTTCTCGTCCTCCTCCTCTTCCTCCTCTTCCTCATCCTCCTCCATCCCCTCCTCCCCGTCTTCCCCTCTGCCTCCCCTCGCTGCTCTTGCCGCCTCCTTCCTCTCCCGTCTCTCCTCCTCCATCCGCTCCGCAGCACCCGTCACTTCAATCGCTTCCTTCCTCAGTTCCTCCCTCTCTTCCGCCGAGAACGCGCCCTGGTCGCTCTCTATCGTCACAATGTTCTTATAACGCGGATGCAGCACTGCCTTACGCGGGGTGTACCGCAACGGAATCACCGTCTGGTTAAAAACCTCTCCAAGCCTTTCCACCGTGAACACACGCAGCGTTTCCCCTGCCACCGCCACAATACCCTCTGGGCACTGATCTGACGCAAACGGAGCCGCATACTCTAAAGCCTCATAGGACAGAGGCGTCAAATGGAAGCTTCCCAGAAGGGAGTACCCGAGCCACGGGCGGCTGGAAAGGCACAGCATGGCGCGCCGCTCTCTCAGCTGGGCACCGAAAAGTTTCGGCGCGCGCAGCCCGAGGAAGCGCGTGCGCGAATCGGAAAGCTGCCCGGAGTTCTTATCCACCTCGGTGCGGAGCAACACACCGTTCTGCAGGCCGGCATTGAGAAAGAGGCTGGACGGCACGTGGGCGGCAGCAGAGGAGGAGGAGGAGGCTGCGGTGGAGGAGGGGCCGTCTGTGCCGGGGCCGGTGGGGACGTCGAGGAAGAGCAGGGACTCTGGTGGGGCGGATACCGCCTGCACACTTAGCACCTGGTAGATGCATGGGGGGAGGGAGATGGGCAGAGGGAGAGTGAGCGAAGAGCAATCTGAATGCTGACAGTTGAGTCACGCGCCTCAACAGCCAGCACATGAGGGCCCTGCCTGACCACAATAATGGCAGTAATGCCTGCAGCAATGCCTTACCCCCATAACCCCCCAACCCAACACCCTAAACCCTGCACCCAAAGCTCTCCTCCCCCCTTCTCACCTGCATGTTCTCATCGGGGTCCAGAGAGAGGATCCGAACGGTGGAGTCGTACGATCCGACGGCTAGGAAGCGCGCTCGCTGGCGGCCCTCGGGGACGGGGGCGACGTCGAGGCAGGCGACGTCCCCCGGCATGTCCTTCTTGCCCATCTCCACCATCTGCCCCCTCACGTCCATCTCGAAATGCACCAACTCGCCTCCTGACAGGGCGATCACCACCTGCGGAGGGTGGGGTGAGAAGACGGAGAGTGCAGGAATGAGCAATGGTCAGAATAAACAGCGGTTGACACCTCTTGTCACCCCCAAGCGGACGCGGCAAAAGGCAATTCACCAGGTGACGATTTGAACTGAGATGGACTGACCTGGAAGCGGTTGCAGCAGACTTTAACGATGCTCTTCTTGCCGGGCGTCTTCCACTCGTTGATACGCCCGTCCGCCCTGATGTGCCTAATGCCGCTTGGGTGCACCTGCACGTGGGATGGGATGGTGCAGGCAACATAGATGAACATGGGCGCATTCACACAGGCCTGTTGACGGTGCCTCAAGAGGCGTCTTCCACTCGTTGATACGCCCGTCCGCCCTGATGTGCCGAATGCCACTCCGATGCACCTGGGATTGGGATGGGATGGGATGGTGCAGGCAGGAGAGACGGACATGGGCTTACTTTTGAGGCGCATCAGAAGCAAAACAACCCACACTGCCCCCCAGCCACCGCACTGACCTGCATAAGCGAGTCCTCCCCCAGCAGGGAAACGGCGAGTGAGGGCGTGGTGTCCAGGAACCCGCTGTCACTAACTTCCTCGACCGTATCACCAATGCTGAGCACGAGGGTCGCATTGACGAACGACACCACGATGTACGCGTCAAACTCGTCCTGCGCGCTCTTGCGCACCGTCCACACCGCACTCGGCACGCCTGGTAACTGCGTTACCGCCATCTCGGTGACTGCGAGCCCCGGGCGGAGGATGCGCAGGGAGGAGCGCGGGCCACGGCCGCAGAGCGCGAAGACCTGCGGGGTTTCCTCGTCGAAAAGGTTTGAGACCTTGAGGTCGAGGAGAGGCATCAGTGACTCGACCTCGTCGATCTGGAATGAGTGAGGGGGAGAGGGAGAGCGGGGAGAAGGGAGAGAGTCAGGATGGGGAATGGGAGGAATACCGAGGAGAGCGGGAGGAGGGATAGCAGGAGGGGGAGCAGGAGGAGGGAGAATGCGGGGGCTTGCTGAGGGGTGAAGACCGTTTGCATGCCCACGTGAAACACAATGCACCTCTGGCTCTCCTCCTTCAACCCAATCGCCCACACCCTGCCCCTCAACTTGCTTTAAAAAAAGATGAAAAAAACACTTAAACAGAGCAAACGTGAACCAGGGAAGTCGCGCTGACCTGCACGAGGTTCTTGAGGCGGCGCGGGTGGAAGAAGACGGGCTGGAAGCCCTCATCAATTTCCATGAGCGTGGCGGAGCTCGACTCCACCTCCTCGTCATCCCCGATGCCCTGACACCGGGTGACTTCTGATTCGACTCAAAGCACACCCTCCCCCTCCTCTCTGGACGTCACTGTGCCTCGCAGTGACTTTTAAGTCGACTCAAAAACTGACCTGAACCAGATTCTTGAGGCGGCGCGGGTGGAAGAAGACGGGCTGGAATCCCTCATCCGTCTCCATGAGCGTGGCGGAGCTCGACTCCACCTCCTCGTCATCCCCGATGCCCTGGAAGCGGTACAGCGCGTGGTTGCCGAACTCCGACGCCGCGAACAGGAACCCCGCGCGCAGCACGCACAGCCCCGCGCCCACCGGGATCGTGTCAAAGTACTTAATCTTCAGCTCCGTCACGCGGTCCGTGTCCTTGGGGTCGTGCTCTAGGGTAACCCTAAACACGTCGCCGTATTCGGACTGCAGGAGGAAGAAGTACATCGATTTCTGCTTGTGCGTCGCGGCCGCGACGATCAGCACGCCGCGCTCCGCGGGGAGGTCGGCGCGGCGCGGAATGACGGCGCGCACGTCCGGGTGGCCCTGGTTCTTGTAGATCACGAAATTCTCGGCGCACACCAGCACGCCAGACGGCCCGTCCGCGCCGCCCGGGACCGCAACGAGGAGATTCGCGCCGTTGTCGACCGGCTCGGCCCATTTCCGCACGACGTGGTTCAGGCCCAGATCAAGCTCGTAGAAGGTCAGCTGCTTCTGCGCGTCGGCTGCTGCTTGGCCTGACGGGTCCTGATCTGCATCGGCGTAATCGAGCTCTATGGCGGCGAAAATGGGGTTGTCGAATCCGCAGTCCACGCCCACGACGGAGAAGACTAGGGTTTGCGATTTGTGCGCTTCTAACGGGGATGAGATCGTGAGGCGCGCCGAGCTGTCGCGGTTCAAAACGTACACGAACTTCTGCTTCTCGCAGGCTGCGATCATGACCGCTCGTCCTTTCGGATCCACGGCCAGGAATTGACCAGGGACGATCCGGCGACATCCCGACTTGCCATAGGTCTCCTGGTGTATCTTATCGAAGAGATTCTTCTCTCGGTTGTACTCCAATATAACGATTCGGCCAGAATCTGATCCCACGACAATGAGGTCCTTAGAGGAGCCGGTGAGCCGGAATTGGACGAGCGAGCGAATCTCGCCAAATACTTCTACCGCGTACAGGCTCTGCAGTTTTCCCGCGGCATCTGGCCGTAATAGCTCGAGAATCTTCCCTCTCGCGACCACTATTTCCTGCTCCTTCGTCCCTGAGAAGTTGCCGAATATGATGTGACTTATGCCCGTCGCCCGCTGGAGCGTAAGATTATAGAGATACATGGCTTCTACGGACTAGGGGCATGAGACGAGGGACGGGAAATGTGGTCCCGAAGTGAAAATGTGGTCACCTTTTCAGTGAAGTAGACAAGCTGGCACAAATCATAACGGTTAGTAATTTTAGACTTTCCCTCGTTTCGTAGCCGCGTAGCGCAGTGGATTAGCGCGTTGGACTTCGGATCCAAAGGTCGCGGGTTCGATCCCCGTCGTGGTTGAGTTTTTCTGCCCAGTCGTTTCGCTCCGTGCTAGCTTCCCTCGGGATTGGATTGTTTTTTTCCCTGTTGCATCCAATCACACCACGCTTTCTTGAATTCCTCCCAACTTCCCAGCAATTCTTGAGAATCCCGTTTTTGCTGGTGTGCTGTTTCTTGGGATCACCTCCCCTTCATTCTTGGGAACATCTTCAGTTGCTCATCGTTTGTCCGCCTCCACGCGGTTGCCAGCAGTGTCGGCCTGCCTTGCAAGGCTGGCCGCGCTTGACGCGCGGCATGAGTCTCGTCAGGATGCCACCCACTCGAGGTACGTAGGTTTCTTGCAGAGTCATAGTAGGTCGGTTGGTACTAATCCTAAGCTGGTGAATCCAGTTTTTCCGTGATAGTCGGTTGTGGTCTCATTGCTTGACGGTTCACGCGTCGGATAAGGCACACTGAAGCGTTGCACAGGAGCAATCAAGACCATCGTGGCCGTTGGTATCACGTTCGCGATCGCAACAGTGTAGCCACGAAGTCATCTCACCCTTGTAGCGATCTGCCTTACTTCTGCATCTTCGACACGTGGTGACCCATGTCCGGTCGAGTTCAATCCAGCCATTCATTCCCGTCCCGATTGATTCTCGTTCAGATGAGATCGATGGGGAGGACGAGACGCTAGGGCTGCGATCCGGTCTGGTGAGTCGCGCATTCGCTCAGGTGAGTCGCGCATTCGCTCAGGTGAGTCGCGCATCCGCTCAGGTGAGTCGCGCATCCGCTCCCGTCAGTCAGCGCACTATTACGTCGATGCTTCCATCTTTGCGTTGCTTATGTCTCGACCCTCCTAACATTCTTCATTCGCCCGTACGCAAGTATCAACGAGCATTTTCTTTCGTCGCGCTCTCTTCCCCAGCCGACCGATCAGCGCGGGCCGCTCTGCTCGTACGTGGCGGCAACGGCGCTGCTGCTGCTGGGCTGCGGGGTGGGCCTCGGCATCAGCGCGCTGCTCTCGCTGCTCTTCCCCGCCACCTCGCTCCGCTTCATCTCCGCCAACGCTCCCCCTGACGCGCTCGCGGACGCTCAGTCGCAACTGTCGTTCCTGGTCGTGGGAGACTGGGGTCGCAACGGCGACTACAACCAGTCCATCGTCGCGGAATCAGTATGTTTCTACACCCAGCAAGTCCACAGTCACGTATGTGAGATTTGCAGGACATGGCTCATTGCGACTTGTGACTTCCGTTCTCTCCTCGTAACCCACATGGGCGAGGTAAATTCTGAGACGCCTAGAAAAGGAACACAGCTGATCGTGACTTGCATCTTGCTCTTCTCCTCTCCTCCCATGCATCAGATGGGTGAGGTGGCAGCGGTCATGGATAGCAGCTTCGTGGTGTCCACGTGGGGGGCAGCTTCTACGATGATGGGTTGCAGGACGTCGCTCATTGTGACTTGTGTCCTGCGGTTCTCCCCCCGTGCCTCTCAGATGGGCGAGGTGGCAGCGGCTATTGACAGCAGCTTTGTGGTGTCCACGGGGGACAACTTGTATGATGACAGGATGCAGGACATCAATGATTGTACCTTGCATCTTCCTGTTCCTTCCCTGCACATCAGATGGGCGAGGTGGCAGCGGCCATTGACAGCAGCTTCGTGGTGTCGACAGGAGACAACTTCTATGATGACGGGATGCAGGACATCAATGACCCCACCTTCGCCTCTTCCTTCTCCGAGATCTACCAGGCGCCCAGCCTGCAGACCCAGTGGTACGCAGGTACGCCCTCCCCTTATGCCTCCTGCTCTCCTGCCGTTGGCACTGCTGGGGAATCACGAGTACCACCGCAGATGGGCTGCAGGGCGTGCATGACCCCACCTTCGCCTCGACATCCACCAGACATCGCCCAGCCTGCACACGCAGTGCTCCGCAACGCCGGCAGCCAGGCGCTCACATCCCACCCTCCCCCGCTTTCCCTCTTTGTCATCACACCCCACCCCCCTGTAACTTCCCGTGCTCCTGCCACAGGCAGTGCTGGGCAACCACGACTACCACCGCAACCCCGACCCCAACAGTCAGGCACTCACATCCCACCCTCCCCTTTTCGCTTCGCACCCCCACCCCCCGCTTCCTTTCTCCTCCCGTGCCCGTGCCACCGGCAGTGCTGGGCAACCACGACTACCACCGCAACCCCGACGCGGAGACGGACCCGGCGCTGAGGCAGAGGGACCCGCGGTGGCGCTGCGAGAAGACCTACACTGTTGTGCGCGACACCTGCCCCAAGTTCCGCTACTGTGAGTCATCCCTGCCTGCCCCAAGTTCCGCTACTGTGAGTCATCCCTGCCTGCCCCAAGTTCCGCTACTGTGAGTCATCCCTGCCTGCCCCAAGTTCCGCTACTGTGAGTCATCCCTGCCTGCCCCAAGTTCCGCTACTGTGAGTCATCCCTGCCTGCCCCAAGTTCCGCTACTGTGAGTCGGCCCTGCCTGCCCCAAGTTTCTGGCCAAGGATTGTTTTTGCGCTTGAAGCCATGGGGTGGGCCCGCGCGGGGAAAGAGGGGCCCGCGCGGGGAAAGGGGGCCAGGCGCCACCTCTTGCTTGCACATTTCTGTCCTTTACTGCTCATGGAAGCCCTCATCTCCCACTCATCCCGTCCTCTTCTCTTCACCCTGTTATCAACTCAGTCTCTCTTTCTCCCTTTTGAGAAATTTCAAAAGTTTCTCCCCTCCCCTCCTGCCCCCCCCCCCGTCTGCACGAAATGCCCCTCTCAGTCGAGTGCAACCCGCTGCTGCAGCTGTTCTTTATCGACACGTCCCCCCTGGTGGCGGGGTACTGGCACGGCAAGGCACATGAGTTTGAGAAGCTCAACTTCACGGGCCTCCCAGACGCCTCCCTCACCCTGCACTACCAGCTCACGGTGACTCTGCCTCTTCCTCTCCTCTTCTCACCTCTTCGTGTCCCAACTTCTACGCTTCCTCTCCTTGGTCGTCCGAGTATACTGCATGTGCCGCGTCTTGTTGCTTGTCTCGTATCCATCCTTCCTTCTCCGGCAAATCTTTCCGGCCTCATGCATGCCTGCCTCACCTCCTCCACCCTGCCCCTCCCCCCGTCCATCCTCAGTTGCTGCGTGCAGCGTTGGCATCATCAACTGCCACGTGGAAGGTGGTGGTTGGCCATCATCCCATCCACAGCACAGGCAGCCACGGCAACACACCAGAGCTGATCAAGTTCCTCTACCCGCTTCTCAAGGTGCCTCTCTCTCCCTCATTTTCATCTCCCCCTCGTTCCGTCTGCCTCCTTCTATCTCACCTGCACGTCAAACCTGAACGTCAAACCTGCACGTCAAACCTGCACGTCAAACCTGCACCTCAAACCTGCACGTCAAACCTGCACGTCAAACCTGCACGTCAAACCTGCACCTCAAACCTGCACCTCAAACCTGCACCTCAAACCTGCACCTCAAACCTGCACCTCAAACCTGCACCTCAAACCTGCACCTCAAACCTGCACCTCAAACCTGCACCTCAAACCTGCACCTCAAACCTGCACCTCAAACCTGCACCTCAAACCTGCACCTCCAACCTGCCCCTCAAACCTGCACCTCAAACCTGCACGTCAAACCTGCACCTCAAACCTGCACCTCCAACCTGCCCCTCAAACCTGCGCCTCAGACCTGCGCCTCAAACCTGCGCCTCAAACCTGCACCTCAAACCTGCACGTCAAACCTGCACCTCAAACCTGCACCTCAAACCTGCACCTCAAACCTGCACCTCAAACCTGCACCTCAAACCTGCACGTCAAACCTGCACGTCAAACCTGCACCTCAAACCTGCGCCTCAAACCTGCACCTCCAACCTGCACCTCCAACCTGCACCTCAAACCTGCACGTCAAACCTGCACCTCAAACCTGCGCCTCAAACCTGCACCTCCAACCTGCACCTCCAACCTGCACCTCAAACCTGCACCTCAAACCTGCACCTCCAACCTGCACCTCAAACCTGCACCTCAAACCTGCACCTCCAACCTGGACCTCAAACCTGCACCTCAAACCTGCACCTCAAACCTGCACCTCAAACCTGCACCCCTCTTTTTGTGCATCCCTCACTTTGTGGTAGACAGCTAACGATGCTCTTTCTTCCCTCACGCGCAGCTCTTGAAGGAGAGCATTCAGTTCGTCTCTGCTCCTCCTCTCCACGCCCCCTTGCCATCTCGCCGTGTGTGAACTGCCTGTGTTACTGTCGAAGTACTAAAAGCAGCTGACCTTGCCTCTGCTCCCTTTGCGACTCTCTCTACACCTCCTTGTGTGTTCAATGTGTGCTCACTGTGCCTGTGCTGTGTGCCTGCTGTGCCTACACTGTGTGCCTGCTGTGTCTGCACCACCTACAGCGCTACAACGTGGACATATACATGAACGGCCATGACCACAACCTCGAGCTCTACAAGGATGTCAACAGGTGCGCTGCATCACATTATTTCATGCCATATTGTGGACAGGGGCTGAGGGAAAGGGGGTACTTGGGCACCCGTTCAGCATTTCGGATGTTACTCTCTGCATACTATCTTCTCTGGCGTTCTGTGCTTCGTTTGCTGGGTGTGTGTGTGCAGTGGTATGTTCTTTGTCACAAGTGGGGGCGGCTCGAAGGTGGATCGGAATCGCACGGTAACTGGTGACAACAACTCCATGTTTTATCATTCTCGCCAAGGCTTTGTCTCTGCAAGTGTAACGGCCCAATCCTTCACTGTCAAATTCCATGACATGTTTGGGGCTAGCCTCTATACAATGACGACCTCCAAGGATCCTCAGTGATAAAAGCCTCACTTATGTCTGCTGAAAGTTTTATCTAAGGTGCTGCATTGTACTGGCACACTTGTAACATAGCATCCCCACCACAGGATCTTTCCCCAGCTTCCTTAGATTTTTTCGTGAGCGTGGAACACAAATTATACGCGATACAAGCTGCTCGTTGCCCACCCGCCTTATCAACCACACCATCATTCTTCTCGCCTTGCTACTCTGCCTTTTCCCAGAGCCTGTCACGGGAGGAGCTGGGAAGAGTAGTCATCGCGGTCGCCTCTTGGTTTCGCGTCATCGCAGCGCAGCCCACAGCGAATCAGGCTCCCATCGTCAGTCGCTTGGTTATCTAAGTTGCCAATCAGTTTGCCTTTCCGCGTCGTCCTATGTCTTCATCGACGACCGTTTCATTCTTCCATACACTGCGGTGGACATTGATTTCGAGGATGTTCCATCGACGTTCTTACAGTTACAGCCCACTCACCCATGATTAGGTTTAGGTTTCGCATGCACTGGCGTTTTCCGCCGGACCTCGCGTGCACTGGCGTTTTCCGCCGGACCTCGCGTGCACTGGCGTTTTCCACCGGACTTCCTTGTTAACCCTCTTTTCTTGACAAGCTAGGCCTCTTCGCGGAAGCATCATGGCATATGACGCGGATCAGGAGGCGCTACGCGGCGTCGCGTACGTGCCATTGGAAATCGAGGATCCGCCGGAGCCGCTGAACAGTAGACGTGCGTTTGCCAGGGAACCACGCCAACGTTCTTCTACCAGATTAGGGTTTCGTAGCAAACGTGATTATAACGAGTTTCATGAGTTCCAAGCCACTCTGGACCAGGAGAGTCAAGCCCGTACTCCATCAACCTCAGAAAGCCGTCTCCAACCCTCGAACCTGCAGCACAGGCTTGGAGCTGCTGAAATTGACGTACATCCGAACCTGAACAGCAGGTTCGGTGCGGCCGAGCTTGACGTGCAGCTTGGCCCTCCGGACCTGACAGAGGAGGGAGCGAGAGAAGAAGTGGGCGCAGATTGGCGAAGAGTTGGCGACGTGGACGGGTTCATGCGAGGCGTGTACGAGTACTACTGCGGGCGAGGCTTCGTGTGCATCGTCACCAGCGTGAGTGACGACGTCCCTATGGCTTCCGTTGCTCGTCATCTTACCGTTCCCATCCTCCATTTCCCTCTCCCAAGCTCGTAAACTCTTCCCGTTTCTTACTCTCTCCCCGCGACCCTTCTCCCTCCCCGTTCCCCCTCCCCGCCCGCCATCCCGTCCCCCACCCCCCTCCGCCCAACGGTGGCAGTGGGTGGTGCACCTGTGCAGTCTGGCCTTCACAATCCTCTTCTCCGCGCTGCTGCTGCTCCTCATCGACTGGCGCGCGCTCCTCTCGCTCAACTGCTCCGCCGCCTCCGCGGCCGCCGCAGCCGCCGCCATCTCCGCCGCTCCCCACGCTACTCCCGCCGCTGCCGCCAGCGGTGGATTCGCGGCAACGGGGCCGGGTGAGCGTCCCGCTGTGCGGACACTGGCGGAGACGCGGAGCGAAAGGGAGTGGCGCGAGGGACGTTCGTACGAGCGAGATGGGGAGAGAGGCATGCAGGGTAGGGGTGCAGGGGAAATGAGCGATGTTGGACCAGACACGGTTGTAAATAGTCCTGTATATAGAGGCTCATACGTTGGTGTATATAGCGGTGGGGATGGGTCGAGAGTCGAAGCAGGCGCGCTGCAGGATGCGATAATCCCTGGGGAGCGGAGGAGGAGGCTTGTACAGGGGAGCGCAGCAGAGGAGAGAGTAGCAGCGGGAACGGAAGCAGAGAGGGGGTTAGCAGAGGGGAGGGTAGTGGAGGGGAGAGTAGCAGAGGGCGCAGCAGAGGGCGCAGCGGAAGCGGCGATGCACGAAGCGGAGGGGGCGGCGGAGGGCGCGTGCGACGTGTTGAGGCACGCTATAAGGAGGGACGTGTTCCGGCGTGTGAGTGTGTGGGAGGTGATAGTAACGGCGTACCTGGGGCTGCTGTGCCTCTACTGGCTCCTCTGCTTCGCGCACTTTTTCCTGCGCCTCCCCGCGCTGCTGGAAACGCGCGCCCTCTTCCGCCACAGGTGCGTGCTGTGTCCTGCGCTTGTCCCGCCACAGGTGCGTGCTGCTCCCTCTACCGCCACAGGTGCGTGCTGTGCTGTGTGCTGCGCTTGCCAGCATCAGCTGCTCGTGACGTTGTAGGGCTGCTGTGGTGGATCCCCCATCAATGCATCCCTCTCTCCCCGTGTCCGTCTTCCTCCTTGCGCCTCTGACCCCCCATCCCCCCATCCGACCATTCCCACTATCCCCACCACCCCCCCATCCCCGCCATCCCCCCATCCCATCCGCGCAGGTTGCGCCTGTGCGACCATCAGCTGCTCATGACGCCCTGGCCCGCCGTGGTGGCGCGCCTCGTGCGCGCGTGGAATGCCGAGGGCGCGGGGGAGAGGGGGGAACGAGCGGGGGAGCGAGTGAGGGAGCGTGCAGGTGGCGGAGGGGAAGGGCGCGCAGGGGGGGAGGAGTCCAGCGAGGACGAGGAGGAGGGGGAGCAGGCGCAGCAGGGGGAAGAGCGGGGTCTGGGGGCAGAATGGCTGGAGGCAGACGCAGCAGGGGGAGGAGGGATTTCAGGAACGGTAGTGGTGCGAGGGGTAGGAGGGAGAGGGGCAGGCGGGGTGGTGTGCGGAGGCAGGGCACGGGTGGGGGGGCTGTCAGCATACGAGGTGGCGGCGCGCATCACACGGCGAGACAACTACCTGGTGGCGCTCGTGGACTCGCGCCTGCTCACTGTGCGCATGCCTGCTGGGGGGGGACAAGGGGGATCCGGGGGCACAGGCGCTGCGCTCGCTGCTGCGCTGCTCGGTGCCGTGGGGCCATTGCTGTCGTTCCATGTGGTGCATGAGAAGAGGTGGCGCAAGGGAAGGACGGGGCGAGGGGAGGAGCGAGAGGAGGAGAGGGAGGAGGGGTGTGTGCGGGTGACGGTGTTGAGCAAGACGTTAGAGTGGGTGGTGCACTGGTGTGTGCTGCACCCCTTGCTGGACCGTCACGGCCGCCTGCAGAAGCACTTCCTGGACGACCCAGCAGCGCTGCGCCAGCGGTTCGTGCTCTCGGGGTGGCTGCTGGCGCTGCTGTCGCCGTTCGTGCTGCTGTTTGTGCTCTCCTTCTTCCTCCTGCGCAAGGCCCACCATCTGTACCATGAGCCGGCTGCTGCGGGCGTGCGCTCCTGGTCCAACCTCGCGCGCTGGATGTTCAAGGAGTACAACGAGGTGAGGCGGGGTGTTTAAGGGGTACAACGAGGTGGTTTGGGGTGTTTAAGCAGTCCAGCGAGGTAAATGCTGCATATCCATTGCTTATCTCTTGAGATGTCCAACCTGCTACATATATACCCGTCGAACTGCCCTGGTTCCAAACCATAGTCTCGCCTTGACCCCATCTGCGTGCCCTATCTTCCCCCCCCCACGCCCCTTCCCTCAGGTGGACCATCTGACCTCTCAGCGCCTGGATGCGGCATGCGTGCAGGCGGACGAGTACCCACCACCTACTTCGTCCTTGTCACCTCGTCCTCTCATTGAAATATGCCCAACAATCGCTTTGCCCTGCCCTGCCCCTCGCCCCCCCACGTCCCTCTCAGGTGGACCATCTGACCTCCCAGCGGCTGGATGAGGCATGCCCACGCGCAGACGAGTACCTGGCGCAGTTCCCCTCGCCGCTGCTCTCCCTGGCCGCCAAGCTCCTCTCCTTCGTTTCCGGCTCCCTCGCTGCTCTGCTGCTCGCCCTCGCCCTCGCGGATGAGAAGCTGCTCGAGGCACAGGTGAGGCACTGAGGAGGCGAGGCCAATGAGGTGAGGCTCCTCACCCGATCGCAGTTCCCCTCGCCGCTGCTCTCACTGGCCGCCAAGCTCCTCTCCTTTGTCGCCGGCTCCTTGGCTGCTCTGCTGCTCGCCCTCGCCCTCGCGGATGAGAAGCTGCTCGAGGCGCAGGTGAGGCCAGGGAGCAGCAGATGCAAGTTGTGTGTGTGTGTGTGTGTGTGTGTGTGTGTGTGTGTGTGTGTGTGTGTGTGTGTGTGTGTGTGTGTGTGTGTATGTGTGTAAAAACCAACCCCTCGCCCTTGCTCAACCCATTTTGCGTTCTTTTGAATGGACTTAAAAACCCACCTCCTGTTGTGTCCTGTCCCCCGCATGCACCCATCATCCATCCCCCAGCTCTTTGGTCGCGGCCTCGTGTGGTATGCGGCCATACTGGGCGCGGTGCTGGCAGCAGCACGGCCGGTGGCGCAGGCGGACAGGGCGGCGGGCAGTGTGGACCCCAGGGGCGCGCTGCTGAGGGCGGCAAGGCACACGCACTTCCTGCCTGCTAGGTGGAGGAGCAAGGCGCACACGCAGCGAGTCAGGGATGAATTCCAGACGCTCTACCAGGTGCGTCTGCAAGTGGATGGGTGTGTGTGTGTGGGGGGGGGGGGGGGGGGGGGGGGGGGGGGAGTGTGGGTCCCCGTCCTCACCTCTCCCCCCCCCTCTCCCCCCCTCGTCCCCCACTCTCCCCCCCCGTCCCCCCCTCTCCACCCCCCGTCCCCCCCTCTCCCCCCCTCCGTCCCCCCTTCTCGGCCCCCCGCGCCCCCCTCTCTCTCTCCCCCCATCCCCCCCCCTCCTTTCCCCCGTCCCCCCTGCTCCCCCTTCTTCTCCCCCCTCCCCCTCTCCTCCCCCTTCTTCTCCCCCCTCCCCCTCTCCTCCCCTCCCCTCCCCTCTTCTCCGCTCCCCTCCTCCCCTCTCCTCCCCTCCACTCCCCTCTCCTCGCTTCACCTCTCCCCATCCCCCCCTCCCCTTCCCATGCCACGTGTGTGGGCAGTTGAAGCCGCTGCTCTTCCTAGCGGACGTGCTCGCCATCTTCACCACGCCCCTCATGCTCTGGTTCATCCTGCCCCAGGTACTGCCTCCCCCCGCGCCTCTTCCTCCTCTCGCCATCTTCACCACGCCCCTCATGCTCTGGTTCATCCTGCCCCAGGTACTGCCTCCCCCCGCGCCTCTTCCTCCTCTCGCCATCTTCACCACGCCCCTCATGCTCTGGTTCATCCTGCCCCAGGTACTGCCTCCCCCCGCGCCTCTTCCTCCTCTCGCCATCTTCACCACGCCCCTCATGCTCTGGTTCATCCTGCCCCAGGTAGGTACCACCGCCTCCCCTCCAGCCCCTCTGCATTCCTCTCTCGCCTACCCTCTTGCTCGTCCGTTTCACTGCTGCATCTCGCCTGTGTGCTCTCCCAGCCTATTCGACTGTTGTCCGCCCTCCCTTGACAGTGTGTTTGTGGGCCACGTGTGCTCTCACAGTGTGTTTGACTGTTGTCCGCCCTCCCTTGCCCCATCCGCCCTGCCTTGCCCCATCCGCCCTCCCTTGCCCCATCCGCCCTCACGTGCCCCATCCGCCCACGTCCCCACCCATCCCACAGAGGGCGGACGCCATTCTCGCCTTCCTGCGAACCACCTCCACGTACCACGAGGGGCTGGGCCACGTGTGCTCCCACAGCGTGTTTGACTCGCAGGGAGAGCAGCATGCCAGCAGCAGTGGGAAGAGCGGTGCTTGGAGTGCGGATACCAAAGGGGATAGTGGCAGGAGTGGCAGGTTGGGGAGTGGCAGTGGCGAAAGCGGAGGTGGAAGCAGCGGGGTTATGCGAGGAGGGGGGTGTGAGGGTCGGCTTGGGGTGGGAGTGTGTGGAGGGACGGTGGGGGAGGTAGCTGTTGGCGTGGAGGGTGGGCAAGGAGGGTGGGAGGGCGGGCGAGGAAGGGGGGGTGATGACACATTGGCGGCAGCTCACAGCAGTGAGAGCAAGGTGGAGCAGTCATTTGCCAGGTGGGTGTGATGCCCGCTCATGGGAATGGCTGGAGGGTATGCAGGAGTTGGTTGGTGGTGATCGCCTCTTCAAAATTGCCAGCATCCTGGTCTGGTGCTTCCCTATGGCTGGCGCTCACGTGCTATCCTTTCCCCCTCACCTTTCATCCTGTCATGTTTCTTCCTCACCCCCCCACCCCCATTTGCTCTCTCCCCTACCCTCCTGAACCCCATTTCGTGGCTGCCGTGCATGCGACAGCTTCTGCGCCAGCTACCCCTCCTGGCAGCCCCATGCTTCAGCCCAGCAATTCTGGGCGCCACCTGCTCTGCAGCAGCAGCAGCAGCAGGGGCGGCAGCAGCAGGAGCGGCAGCATCAACAACAACATAGCAAGAGCATGCATAGTTCGCTTCCCTCACAGGCACATTCCGTACAGCCACATTCGCCAATAGCCCAATCAGCAGTCGTAACCGCAACACAAGAAGCAGCAGCAACAGTAGCACATGCAACCTCCATTCCCCTGCCTCATCCCTCCTCCCTCTCCCACTCGCCTTCATCCAGCCACGCTCGTGCCTCCTCATCCCGCCAACCACCCATGGACAGCCCTCTCGCACCCACCACCCTTGCCTTCCCCACTCCTCATTCCCTCCGCCACACACATCACCGTGCTGCCTCCACCCCCCCATCCCCTCTCCCTGCTCTCGCTTCCCCACCACCACATTCAGCGCAAGCTCTACTTGCTCCTGAGACCACTGCAGATGCTACCCCTCCGCACTCACCCCCTCATTGTCACCACCCTTTACAGTCACAGTCAATTATCGGAATCCGACCTGCAGCAGAGTGTCAAGCAGCAAGCGGTGCAGAGGGGTCGCAGTGGGTGCTGCAGCGAGGGATGCAGCCCACTCGTAGCCTCAGCTGCAGTGACGGTGTATGGGAGGGGATGGGGGAGGGGGATGGTGTGAGGGAGGGGAGTGGCATAGGGGAGGGGGATAGCGTGGGTGATGATGGCAGCATGGGTAGCAGCATGCTGTTAGAGCAGATGGATGCTGCCATGCATGGCGGCATGCATGGTAGCATGCATGGAGGCATGCATGGGCGTTCATATGGTGGTATGCATGAGGGCAGTAATGAAGGGATGCATGCAAGAGGCAGCATCACATGGGGGGATGCGCAAGGAGGGCAGCAGCCCCAGCAAGAAGCACACAGGCAGCAGCAGCAAGAGCAAGAGCAGCAGCTGCCACTGCACCGCATGGTGGCAGCTGCTTCTCCAAGTGTCACTACTCGAGTAACGCGCAGCCCAAGTGCAGATGCAGTGCATGCAGCCCATGTGGGAGGGGTGGTGGTGCATGCAGTGCCACCCTCTGCTACGGTTGCTTGGAGAGGAAGGACAACAGGAGTAGGTGCGGCGGGTGCAGCAGGTGCAGCGGGTGCAGTAGGTGCAGCGGGTGCAGCAGGTGCAGCAGGCGGGGAAGCAAGAGCAGGAGCATCAGGTGCACGTGTATCAGCGGGTGCAAGGAGAGAGGATCCCTTGGTTACGTTGCAGATAGGGGACTCCCCGCCGCTGCCCTTTGGCGACATCTTTGCTCTTGACTCCGACTGATAGCATGAGGGACAGCGTACAGTTGTTCACTTGTATCTAGAACTACACTACATGTAATATATTTTTCTAAAGACACTTGTGTGTGCAGTCCTGGCTGCCTAAAGCCAAGTCCATATCACATGGCATCTATATTGCATTCGAGAGGAGACCTGCTTGCAGGCACTGCATGGCATTGCACACAGTGTAAGCACGCTGTCTTGCATCCGTCCTCCTCACTCCCTCACCACCACTCGCCTGCTCTCCCCTGTACTCTCTTCCACTCGCCGGCACTCCAGCCGGTCAATCCTGAACCCTCGGATTCGAACCCACTCAGGGATCTCCGGATCCTCCGGGTCCACTTGCACAATCGGCCAACCACAGTTCGACACCTGGAGCCCTTCCACCACCACTGCCACGCCTCTTCCCGCTCTCACCCACATTGCTCCATCCAGCTGCAAGCTATGCACCTCCACCCGCCCCTCCTGCTGCCCCTCCCCCTCCCTCTCACCTCTCCCCCCCTCCGCTCCTGCCCCACCCTCCATCTCCCCTGCCTGACCCTCCCTCCCCACCTCTTCTCCCTCTCCTCTTCCTACATCCAACCCCCCTGCCACCTCAATGACCAAAGTCGAGTCCTCAGAGATCCGCACTTGTTCGGGGTGGGGAAATCGCGAGCGCAGAGCAGCGAGTGTGGGAGCCCAAAAGGGAGACCACACCACACGAGGCCATATCTCCACCTCCTGCCCTGCAATCACAGTGGTCTTAGGGCCTGCCACGTGGACGCCCAGGTGCCTCATGATGAGACAGTTGGCGCGGTACAGGTGGAGCTCTGCTGACGTGGCGCTGTGAGGTGGCGTGCCCGCTGCTAGCTTTGCGATGGCGTCGCGCAGATTGTTCTTCACAGGCGAATAGGCAAGCCACACGTCAGCTTCCTGAGGGGGGTGGAGAGGAGGGGAGAGAGGAGGGGGAACTGAGGAAGGGAGGGGAGCACGTGAGCGTGTCAAGCAAGGTTGCTTGCCCAGAAATTTCTACAAGAATCGAAACAGGAGAGGCAAGAAACATGCTTTCATGGCGATGTAAAAAAATAATGAGGGGGTGGGTAGGAGAGGGAGAGGGGTGGAAGTTCTAGGGAAGGTGACGTGGGAGCGAGTAACTGACCGTGAAGCCAACAGAGCGGGAGGGGTCAATGGCCTGGGGGAAGTCCTGCATCATGCACTCGAGACGTGTGGACGCCTTGAATGCCATGCGGGAGGCATCTGTATACCTGATGGGGGGGGAGGGGGAGAGAGGACGTGCGATATGCCGTGGTTAGAGAGGTGTATATCCACCTATCGTACTAGAATGGCAGTTTCGATGGAAGAGGAAAGACGGGCGAATGTGCGGTGTTGTTTGATGGATGAGACAGGTTCCAATGCAACGACACATCTCCCCTGCCCACTATCTTTACCTTCGCTTGCTGCTGCACTCACTTGGGGTTGACAGACTCCCCGATCACTCCATGCGTCTTAGCGAGTTCCTCTATATAGGGGCCAAGGCGCAGCACCAGCTGCAGAGGGGGAGGCAATGGGGAGAAGAGGCAGTGAGAGGAAAACGTGGAGGTGTGAGGGCATTGGCATGGCATGGCATGGCATGGCATGGCGTGGTTTGGGGTGGCATGGCTTGGGTGAGATGGCATGGCACGGCATGCGGTAGGCAGGAATGGCTTGGGTGAGATGGCATGGCACGGCATGCGGTAGGCAGGAATGGCTTGGGTGAGATGGCATGGCACGGCATGCGGTAGGCAGGAATGGCTTGGGTGAGATGGCATGGCACGGCATGCGGTAGGCAGGAATGGCTTGGGTGAGATGGCATGGCACGGCATGCGGTAGGCAGGAATGGCTTGGGTGAGATGGCATGGCACGGCATGCGGTAGGCAGGAATGGCTTGGGTGAGATGGCATGGCACGGCATGCGGTAGGCAGGAATGGCTTGGGTGAGATGGCATGGCACGGCATGCGGTAGGCAGGAATGGCTTGGGTGAGATGGCATGGCACGGCATGCGGTAGGCAGGAATGGCTTGGGTGAGATGGCATGGCACGGCATGCGGTAGGCAGGAATGGCTTGGGTGAGATGGCATGGCACGGCATGCGGTAGGCAGGAATGGCTTGGGTGAGATGGCATGGCACGGCATGCGGTAGGCAGGAATGGCTTGGGTGAGATGGCATGGCACGGCATGCGGTAGGCAGGAATGGCTTGGCATGGCGAGGGAGACCTGGTTGATGTTCCCCGGGAAGGGTGAGAAGCCCGTGGAGGGGTCGTTGGCATCGCCGTCCTCATGCCCGCACGCCCTCAGCAGCGGGTCCAGCTGGTTGTACTCCACGTTCACCACCATGCTGCGCCCTGGGGAAGGATGGTGGATGGTGGATGGATGGATGGTGGATGGATGGATGGTGGATGGATGGATGGTGGACGGATGGATGGTGGATGGATGGATGGTGGATGGTGGATGGTGGATGGATGGATGGTGGATGGTGGATGGATGGATGGTGGATGGATGGATGGTGGATGGATGGATGGTGGATGGTGGATGGATGGATGGTGGATGGTGGATGGTGGATGGATGGATGGTGGATGGATGGATGGTGGATGGATGGATGGTGGATGGTGGATGGATGGACGATGCAGTGAGAGTGAGATGCATGAGGGCACGTTCATCAGCATGCCGCAGCAATGAGTGCAGCTGCTTGCACTCCGCGTGCACCCCATCTATTCTACCCTCTTACTCCTCCCCCTCTACATGTCTAGGGTTGCGAGTCTCGCGATCCCCCCAATGGCCTCCTTGGCCTTGCGAGGCACGGCCAGCGAATTCACGTCCAGCTGCCTCAGCGCACTCACCCCTCCCTTCATCCCTACCCTCATACCACCCACCCCCTACCCTACCCCCCATTCATACCATCGGAGTGTGCGAGTCTCGCAATCCCCCCAATGGCCTCCTTGGCCTTGCGGGGCACGGCCAGTGAGTTCACGTCCAGCTGCCTCAACGCACTCACCCCTCCCTTGATCCCTATCCTCACCCCACCCCTTGTCCCCCCATTCCATACCATCGGAGTGCGTGAGTCTGGCGATCCCCCCAATGGCCTCCTTGGCCTTGCGGGGCACGGCCAGCGAGTTCACGTCCAGCTGCCTCAGCGCACTCACCCCCAGCGAGCTCGGCACCACCTGCCACCACAGCGTGCAGGAGATGGCCATAGGGGGAGGTACACACGGGGGAGGCAGACAGCAGGTGATACCACCTCACAATTGCTGCCATTTATCTGGCGTGCATGCCTCAACGGGGAGTGGGAGCTGCAGATGCGCATCTGATCCTAGTGCGGTGCAGTACATATGAGCAGTACCTTGAAGAGCAGCCCGTTGGTGTCCTGGAAGAACAGCACCCACTCCACCCCTGCTGCTCTCCTGCACATACATGTGCATGCGTATGTGCATGTGCAGATGAATGTGCATGTGCATGTGCATGTGCATGTGCATGTGCATGTGCATGAATGTGCATGTGCATGTGCATGTGCATGTGCATGTGCATGAATGTGCATGTGCATGTGCATGTGCAGATGAATGTGCATGTGCATGTGCATGTGCATGTGCATGAATGTGCATGTGCATCAATGTGCATGTGCATGTGCATGTGCATGTGCGTGTGCATGTGCGTGTGCATGTGCATGTGCATGTGCATGTGCATGAATGTGCATGTGCATGTGCATGTGCAGATGAATGTGCATGTGCATGTGCATGTGCATGTGCATGAATGTGCATGTGCGTGTGCATGTGCGTGTGCATGTGCATGTGCATGTGCATGTGCGTGTGCGTGTGCATGTGCATGTGCGTGTGCATGTGCATGTGCCACAACCATGTGGATTCTCATGAAAATCTGAGTTCTCAACGAAACAATTTGTAGACCATAGCACAACCCTATTCCTGGGCCGATGATCAGCAGTACGAAACTGTGGCACGACATATCTTGCAAAACGGCATGGCATGGCAGGAGGGCGCACACACCATGAGGGCAGGAGGCCGCTCTGGTGCAGCAGCATGTGCACATCACCATGGCCATGCGGCTTCGTCTGCCGGATTGAGCCAGGGCGGGATGAAGGGGTGCAGAGAGGCAGTGAGGGCAGAGCGGAGCGAACGGAGAGGGGAAGTAGACAAGCCATTTGCAGCGGTGCTTGAGAGCCAAGCGCGAGATGCGCAGAGATGTGAGAGGCATGTGAAAGCCCTGTGCATAGGCATGTGAAAGCCCTGTGCATAGGCATGTGAAAGCCCTGTGCATAGGCATGTGAAAGCCCTGTGCATAGGCATGTGAAAGCCCTGTGCATAGGCATGTGAAAGCCCTGTGCATAGGCATGTGAAAGCCCTGTGCATAGGCATGTGAAAGCCCTGTGCATAGGCATGTGAAAGCCCTGTGCATAGGCATGTAAAAGCCCTGTGCATAGGCATGTGAAAGCCCTGTGCATAGGCATGTGAAAGCCCTGTGCATAGGCATGTGAAAGCCCTGTGCATAGGCATGTGAAAGCCCTGTGCATAGGCATGTGCAGAGCGCTGAAGGAGCACCTGGATGAGGAAAGGGTCCTTTGGGTCGAGCGCCAGGTGAGCATCGTTGTCTGCCACACACGCCACCTTCTCCTGCCACGCCACCGTTGCAAGGGGGTGCAGAGGCATGTGGGGGAGAGGTAACGGAACACCTGGATGAGAAAGGAGTCCTTGGGGTCGAGGGCAAGGTGAGCATCGATGTCCGCCACACATGCCACGTTCTCCCGGGTTGGGGAGGCACAGTCAGCAGGGTGCGCGTGAGGCAGCTGTGCCTATGGCCAGCTCCCCCTCTCGCTCAGCCATGCTGTCAGCAGGCAGCGAGGCAGACAGAGAGATTTCAAGCTGCTTCAACCCAGAAGTTTCACGCCTCTCACACCCCCCCACACCCTCACACGCGTCTCACCCATCACAGCAGACCTGTTTGAGCAGGGTGATCCGGCCGGGGCGCATGCCAAAGTGCCC